AGTTCTAGCGTCAATTTTCGATTTAGTCGATTAGTCGATTTAGTTGTCGATACTTCTAGTGTTAAGACACGAATGTTGAAAAGTTGTGCTAAGAAACTTGTTTTATGACGACGGCCGAGGAAATATTCAGTCGTAAAAATGATATTTAAGAGGATTCTGTAAATATTTGCCGAGTGTGTACGTACACACTGTGACATTGAAGAATTAATAACACTCATTGTATCACGGAAGATTTATTGTATCTTCAAGATACGCATACACACGAATCAATACGCGAGAAACGAGCAACAACAATAAGAAATGTGCAGATCTTTCTGATTTATTTTACAAAGTTGGTCCAAAGTTGAAAAGAATTTATTGTGAATTAGTATGAGACAAAATACTGAGAACTGAAGTATTTCCATAAGTAAATACTATCTCTAAATATTATTTCATTTGACACTTAAATCAAATACTGTTTGATAATAGCATTTCGTTTAATACTTGAATCGTGAGTAAATACTATTCACACAGATTTTCCAAATGTTGTTCAATATTTTCTTCAGATTACATTTCTGTACGTAGGTAAATATTATCCACAAGTTGTGTTTCAAAGATTGTTTGAAAAGTGTGTTTTACTCAAAGCAAATAAAACGAGTTAACAATTTCTTTTAAGAATATATATTTAGCTGCTTATAAATAAAATAAAAATCTCATGTCTCGATAATTGTAAAAAATTTCGAAACTTCGCAACACCATTATTTGAAATACTATCACCTTATATTTCAATATTTGCGCGAGTAATAGTAAATACTATTCCAAGAAAAGTATATTATTAAACTGTTTTACCTGTTTTAAAAATCTGTTTCTCCCCAGCCCTGGCTAAATTGTTAGAAACAATCGAGAACCACAGCGCACATACTCCAACTCACCACTTTAATGCCGTTAGCTCACTTTGAAAATCGTGACGCGACTGCGGCAATTGTATCTCGGCCGAAACTTCCGGCCGTGCCGAATCGTTCAAGGGGACTGTGCTCGCTCGTTCTTTCGTAAAGTTGATCACTTTTTTCCCGTGTCACTCGCACAACTTTCACCGCTCCAGAAGAAGAAGAAGAAGAAAAAAAAAAAAAACATCGACTACAGCTGCTAAGAGAATAATCGATCTCGATCTCGATCTCGATGTGATTTAGTCGCGACTAAAAATTCTTCGAAATTTGCTACCTCTTATTTACGGAAATTCAACGTCCACTATTTTGCAATTTAAAGGAATGTTTTCTCAAGAAGCTTTAACACATTGACGTTCGAGAGTGTTTGCATAAGCGAATTGTCCTTGCAATGTCAGAATTCTTCTTCGCGATCCACGGCCATGCAAACCGGTTGCAGTTGTAGATTTTCGAGGATGATTAAATACTTAAATACTTAAACACGTCTGCGTGTGTATTAAATTGACACGGATATTGACTGGTTTCTTTTGCACGGCTCAGATCATGCGCGATCAGCTCAATGACGAGAAGACGATGAGAGAATGGAACGTAGCTCGCGTTGCCGCGTTCGACTAAAGACTGAGCGGACAGAGAGTCCGCCTGTGGAACAACGAATCCCGTTGTGAATGAAGAGTATCTTCCAGACTTTCGATAGGTCGAGTTTCGTCGGATTATCATTGCTGGTTAAAAAGTTGAAGGAAGTCGACGGATGGGGAATTCCTAAAGACATCTTTAAAGAACTCACTCACGTTTTGTCGTCACACTATTCAGAGAAAATCTCAAAGTCTTCAGTCTGAGAGATTTTGTGTAAGAGATAGTCGATATTTACGCATCGATGTGTAAATTAAGCTTTGATATATCTATCATGGTTATAACGAATTGAAATCATTCTTTTTTTTTCACGAAAACTATACCTTTTTCACAGTTTCGCCAAATTTGCAAGATTTTTCGTCTGATTTCAATTCAGAAATTTACTTCAATTGCCTGCTTAATTAATTCTTTTTCCCCTTTCCTTTGCGAATATAATGAACATAATCGTAAGAATTGATGTGACATTTATGCTTTTCATTTTTACAAAGCACGAGCAAAAATTCATCGATAGAAATATATATATTTCTTCATTATATATGGGTCAAGACCGATTTATTCTTACGTTTTCACACGTTTTCAAATTCTTGCGTGATTGGTACGAGGATCAGTCAGGTTTAATTTTTCGACAATTAAATGCCGATTATACAGGGTGATTCACGTAACTTGCACACCTGAAGTAACTTTTCAATTATGCTGTCTGATGAAAAATTGTTTGATACGAATAGTCGTGTGGTTTCGAGGGTCGTCTTTGATATATCTATCATGGTTATAACGA